GCAGCAGCAGACATCATCAGCAGCATCGGCATCAGCGTCAGCGTCAGCATCAGCATCATCGCCATGAGAAACATCAGCATCAGCATCATAATCAGCATCATCAGCAGCAGCATCAGCTTCCGCACCAACACTAAACGCCAGTATCATCAGCATGATCATCACATTGTCATTATCATGATCATCATAATCGTCATCATCATAATCAGCATGAGCAGCATCATCAACAACAGCATCATCACCATCGTCATTACCAGCATCAGCATAATGGTCATCACCATCCGCAGCAGCCTCAGTATCGTCGTCATCATCATCAGCTTCATCAGCATCATCAACAACATCACCATCATCATCAGCAGCATCAGCATCAATATCGTCGTCATCAGCTTCGTCATTATCATATCACCACCAATATCATCATCACTATCACCATCACCATCTCCATCGTCATCATCATCAGCACCATCATCATCATCACCACCATCACCACCATCACAATCACCATCACCGTCACCATCATCATCAGCATCATCATCAGCAACAACATCAGCATGATAATCGGAAACACCATCTCTGTCATCATCAGCAGCAACAGAGCATCTCCTCCGCCTCCTCCTCCTCCGTGCAGCAGAGCGGGCCTCGAGGGGTATCGGCATGCGGAACGAGCAGGACGGAGGGAGGGAGGGAGAGGCAAGGGAGGGAAGGAAGAAAACTGAGGCGAAGGGAAAAGGGCTGGCTGGGAGGGCGCCGAGGTCGGAGAAGAGAAGAGGCTGGATGGGAATGAGAAAGGGGGAAGGGATCAGCGAGGGATCTCCGTAGCCACTGCCTCGATGCCAACAGGCAGTTGAGATGCACATAGACGTCTGGGAAGACGGGATGACCCGGAGAAACTTCCGAACCTCAACCTCTCCTGGGGGGACCAAGAGGAGCTCCAAGCCCACGCAAGCGGACTCTGGCCAGGCTCCGGGGGCAGATCCATCGCCGTGGCCACGAGCGCGCAGGACCCAAGAGTCCTCCTCCTCCTCCTCCTCCTCCTCCTCCTCCTCCTCCTCATCCTCCTCCTTCTCCTCCATTTTTATTCCATGTAAAAAATTCGCCCTGTCGCACCCCGAAACCACTTGTTATGGCGGTCCGGGCGTCTCGCTTGAGACTTCCTCACCATTCATGACTCCGAAACTTAGACAACAGTTTCACAGATGGAGGGAGGGTCGTTTTCAAAATGTGGTTCTCGCCTGAGCGCCGCGCACATTCGCTTTAAACATCTACAAAAGTTGCACGGATTGAAGGCGGGTCGTTTTCAAAATGTGGTTATCGCCATAGCGCGGCGCACATGCGTTCAAACAAATTGCAAGAGCTTCTCGGATTGAGGGCGGGTCGCTTTCAAACTGCGGCTGTCGCCATAGCGCCGCGCGCATTCGCTTCCAACATTTTGCAAGCGCTCGCTGGATTGAGGGCGGCCCTTTTTTTCCAAAGTGTGGTTCTCGCCTTACCGCCGCGCACATTCGTTTTTTATGTGCAACAGTTTCACGGCTTCCCATGGTCAGCTTACCACAAAAGCTGTGCTGAAAAAAGGATTCAGGATTCTGCGGGTGCAACAGTTGCGCTGGTTCGTTGTGTTGAAGTCCCAGGAATGGCGCTCTGGCGCGATTCAGGATCGCCAAGACTCAACAGTCACGTTCATCCGTGGCGTTGAAATCCCGCTGGCGTGCGTCAGGTTCTTCAAACGGTTGTCTTCGAACGAGGCTTTTCCCTCACTGGAAATAATCCGTCGTAGGGGCCTATGACGAGAGAGCTTGGAAGGAAGGTCTGTTCCAACATCGTTGACAACCCTTGGGTTTACAGTGGTCCTCCTCCTCCTGCTCCACCTCCTCCTGCTCCTCCGCCTGCTTCCTTATACATGTTTCCTCCGCCTCCTCCTCCTCGTCATCCTCCTCCTCCACCTTCTCCTCCTCCTCCTCCTCTCCCTCCTCTTCCCCCCCTCCTCCTACTCCTCCTCATCATCCTCCTCCTCGTGTTTACCTATAGATTTCTCCTCATCCTCCTTCGCCGCCTCCCCCTTCCAGATTCACTCCTCCTCCTCCTCCTCCTCCTCCTCCTCCTGCGCTCGTATCCAACGCCAAGTCGTCCTAACCACTGCCGCCGCTACCACCGTCGCTACCCCCCAGGCCTTGCTGGACGCGATGCAGTCCACGCCGATCTCGCAGGGCCAGGCCTATTGCTGGAACTGCTAGGGCGGGGCTGATCGGGCTCCAGGGTGCGATACAAAGACACTCGGAGTTGTGGGATCAGACCTAAGGCGTCACTTTCACTAAGAGGGTTCGGGAGATGCGATGCGAGAGTAAATAAATAAACATAGGCAACCACATACAACATATTGTAGGGGGGAGGAGGCCAAAGCGAGTAAGGGTGTCTTCGGGGGGCGGGTGGCTTCTAATTCCAACTACCAGAGTACAGCACTTGGAGCACTTTAAGTAATGTGATTGATCATCGGGCGCATCTTCACAGCCAAACATACAGCGACGGGGCACCTACTGGAAGCGTCGGTCCGTGGTCCACGCCCCCGAGAGAGTCTTTATAATTGCATTCCTCCATGCAGGAGGGGAACGAAGAGTGGCAGCGTGTACTTCCGCCCACTCTATCTGGGCAAGCTCAGCGTCTTCGAGCTCGGGGAAAAGGCGGGGGAGGCGAGCGCGGAAGGTCGAAACGAGGTCGGGGGGGGAATAAAGACTCTCTGAGCGCTGCACTCGCAGCAGCCTGAACCTTCTTCCTTTCACGCAAAGCAGTTCTAGCAATCTGTACTGCTAGCGCACCAGCGCCAGCATGCAAGGGAATTGTCTGGAAGCCATGCGCCGCTTCATGCATACTGACAACGATCGGAGGCTCCTCCCAAAAATTGGGAGGTCGGCGACGCTCTAAAATGTCCTGCAAACTGAGATAAACCTCGACCTCCGAAAGCTTATCATAACTAAGTCGCCATTCTGGGAGCGTGCTTAGTGCCGCTCGAATTCGCGACGCTAAGCTGAGAACCAGAGCCGAGCGGAGATGAGGGCCACCCCAACTCGACATCGAAAAGAAAGCCTGGCGCGACAGAGAGCAGCGGGGCATCTTAAACAGGGCCGCAAAGAGGGCATGTTCACGAGCAAGCACGTGCTTGGGGAGCGGACAAAACTGAGCGACGCCCCCCAAGCAGGATAAGGCCCTAGAGTCGTATTGCGCCGCTGCAATCGACGAGGGCGCCCCGCTCTTTGCTTTGCAATGGCCTTCGCACGCGAGATCCATTTCTTCACAGGCCCATCCCATGAGGATGGCTGGGCAGGCGGCCCGATATATAAACCAATATACATAAGCTTCGAGACGATTTGGAAGCCCGCCCAGTCAGGCAGGTTGCGCTCGAGCCAGGTTCTGTCTCCCCGCTCAAGCTCAAGGGGAAACCGCCCAGAAAGTGGGGCTATCTTACATTTACGTACCTTAAGTTCTAAATTAGACACCCGCCTCGACGCCCGAAATACAGTATGCAGTTGCCGTAACACTTCAATTCTATATATAACACGACCTACATCATCTGCACATAAACGGGATATACCTAAGCTTTTGGCCTCAATCAGTTGATATAGATGAACTGCGAACGGGCGGGAGGCGACGGCGTAGAGAGTTCCTCTTGCTGGACAGCCTTGGACGATCCCTGACTCGATCATGTACATAAAGAAAAGAGCATCCCCTGCCCGTCCAAAACAGGAGACCTGAGTGTATATCATTTCCAGAAATTCCAGAAGCGGCCCTGGAAGTTGAAGTTGCCGAAGGACCAGGAAAACCCAGAGCTGCGAAATCGATGGGAACGCCTGTCCATAATCGAACGATGCCAGGATCGGACGACGAAGCTTGGCCTCAGGCTCTAAACTTGTGATCCGAGCCTGCGCGTCGAGTTCGATGATGTTCACGCCGAAACCCCTGGGCGGAACAAAGCCCCTCTGGGAGCTATGCGCAAACCTCGGGAGGGACCGCGTCAGCGGCTTCACACAAACCGACGTCATGATTTTCGAATCCGTGGTTTTGAGACCTAGCGGTCGAGTGTTCGACGCCTCTCGGATCATCTGAAGGTGGTCGTCGGGCTCGTCGCCCTTCGCGATGAACACCCCCTTTACAGCATTGAAACCGAACAATAGTGCCTTGCCTTCTAACGACCAAGCTAGAGCCTGAAACAGAATGTGGGAACCTTTGGGGTGGAACCTCCAGGCAGCATATGGGAGCTGGTCAGGACCTGGGGCACTCTGTGGGACCTTATTCAAGAACCTCTGGATGTCCAGCTCGGTCGGAGGCGGCAGATCTGACAAGTTCACGTCAGGCTTGAAACGACTTACATAGTGAAGAGCTGCAGCACGATCAACTTCCTTACGAGCGAAGACCCCTCCCCAGTACTCTGAGAGCCCACTCATCATGCCCCCAGGATCGGCACGCACAATCGGTGCCGAACTTGGACCCTGGGACACACGAATGCCTTGCAAAGGCAATTTCCTATTGAACGGAGACCACAGCTTACATCTGACCTGCAGGCTCTGAATCCTTTTCCTCAACTTACGGCGCGCCGATTCGGGGGTATCTTCCTGCTGCAGCTGACGCCTAGCCTCGGCCTGGGCCTGGGCGAACATGGCCATGCGCGCCTCGTCGGAGGCGGCTTGAAACACATTGGGGTCGCTGAGGCTGACGGTCCGCTCGAGCGGGTCCGTGGCCAAAAACTGCTCCCCGAACGGGTGCGAGAGCCGAATCTTCTCCGCAAGCTGAATATCCTGAGACCAGAGAGCACGAGCAACCGCACGACACGCGATGTACCTGGAGAGCGGGCCTGCCGGCCTGCCCCGAAGAATACGATCTCGAGCGAAACGAGCAGCTTCGATCATCCTCTCCTTATGAAAGGCGAGAAGAAGAGGCGGTGAGAGATCATCATCTTGAGCGAGCGGGATAACCTTCTCTAGAAATTGCTGATACTCTGGGCGCCGAAAAATCTCCTGATGGATGCCGCGCTCGAGCTGGCTCTTCGGCTTCCGCGGGCCGAACGCGGCACTGACGCCGGTGTGGTCCGAGACCCTCGAGGCACTCAGGATCTCCGGGTACCCGTGGACTCGAGCGCCAGAGCACATCTGAGTGATGCACCATCCAGGTGCCGACAGAAAAACCTATCAATCTTGCTGACAGTTCCCTGCGCTATGCAGTGATGAGTGTGTTGGGAAGTCTCGATTTCGACCATCCTCTTCAAAACAACCTTCCATTGTCCCGAAGATCTGAACTCCGACGAAGCTGGGGAAGCAGGAGGGGGATCATACGAGTTTAGCGCTTGGGGGAGCTCGTCAGCAAAGTTGAAGTCGCCACCTGCGAACACGAAGACCTTCATGGGGTCCTGGGAGGCTGTATCTAAGTCCTCGGAGATCATATCTATGACCCAGTTCCG